TCAAGATAGCATGGTTTTGGCCAAAGGATAGACATATAGATCAATGGAATATAAAGAGTACAGAATTAAATCCTCAAAAATATGGTCAATTAATTTTTGAAAGTGCTACAAAGGCAATTCAATGGAGAAAGGTTAATTTTTTCTACCAATTGTGCTAGAAAAGTTGAATCCACATGTAAAATATAAATTTGATTCATACCTCACACTTTATATAAAATTTTGCTTAAAATGGATCATAGTCCAAAAGTAAAAATTTAAACCGTCAGAGGAATGCATAGGAGGAAATCTTTGTGACACTAGGTTAGACAAACAGTTTTTAGGTGTAACATTCAAAATTAAAAATTCTTTTCCTCTGAAAAACCTCAAAGAAAATGAAAGACAAGCAATAGACTGGAAGAAAATATTTGCAATTTACTTATCTGACAAAGAACTTATAAACAGAACACAAGAAGAGCTCTTTAAATGCAATGTACATGCGTGCTCAGTTGTGTCTGACTCTGTGACCTCATGGACTGTGTCTGTCAGGCTCCTCCATCCATAGAATTTTTCAGGCAAGAACACTGGAGTGGGTTGCCATGTCCTCTTCCAGGGGATCTTCCCAACCCAGGGATCAAACCCGCACTTTTGTGTCTCCTGCATTGGCAGGCGGATTCTTTACCACTGTGCCCCCTGGGAAATCTAAAAAATACATATCTGTTTATATATTGTATGTATACCCATACTTTACACATAGAATAAGATTTTTGCCACCAAGGAAAAATTTTCACCAAAAAAAAAAAAACCCGTTTTTTTTATTGAAGGTTTTCCGTTTTTAAACTTTAAAAAAAAAAAAAATAAGTGGGGAGAAGAAATAATATACTTAGCACTTCTTTATGGCGATTATTTCCAAAATAGCTCAACTACTCTGTTGTATCAAAATTAATTTTTCCTGAAGTAGGTACTATTCTCACTTATAGGTAGTCTTTGCCTTGCATGGGTGGTAGTGTCAATAAAATAACCTTAATAATTAATGGAGAAAATTATTATTGTTCTGTGACCCTGGAAAAAAATTGTCAAAATATTAAAATGTGTCTGTTTTAAATGTTAAAGGAAATGAAAAAAATTGTACCTTAGCACACTGTAGTTTAAAACATTACAAACACTGAAAGTTAAAGTGTTATTTCACTGTAAAAAACTAATCAAAAATAATAGTACTTGCCTTTCTGTCAAGTAACTTACAACACTGGGTAAGCACTTTTTATATCCCATTGCAATTTGTCATACATTAAGTTTAGATTAGCTTCCACTTAAAGACAATAATTAGATACAACAGAATATTATTCAGTTATAGAAAGGAATGAAATTTTGATATATGGTACAACATGGATGGACTTTAAAACACTATGCTTAGAAAAATAAGCCAGAAATGGAAGGACAAACATTCATTTATATGAAGCCCTTAGAATAAGAAAATTAACAGAGACAAAAAGAATAAAGATTACTAGGGGCTAGGGGGAGGAAGGAGAACAGGGGTGTTAATGTTTAATGGATACACAGCTTTTGTTGGGGATGTCAGGTTGGTTTGTTTCTCTTCCTTGGTTCTTGTCTCAACACTACAAAAATTTGGAATGACAGACTACAAGGTTTAAAACAATATAAAAGTTACAGTTCAGTTCAGTTCAAGCAGATAGATCTTTTCTTAGACAGGCATTCCCAAGACATGGGAGCAGGCTGCCCCCAAATAAATGTCCTCCTCCCAATCCCTCCCCTTTTATACTTTCCATCTCCTTTTTTAGGTTGTGCCCTGTGCACAATAGCGCTTGTACCCACCACCAGTCAAGAAAGGGGATGCACATGGGCATATGCTCAAGGCCAACTGACAATTGCAAGTTATATAACAGGCTCTGTGTGTATGTCTTCCCATGATTCAGTCTGTTATAACCAGATCTACATATGTGTAGAGTATTTATGAACGTTTAATGTATGCAGGTCAGGAAGCAACAGTTAGAACTGGACATGGAACAACAGACTGGTTCTAAATAGGAAAAGGAGTACGTCTAGGCTATATATTGTCACCCTGCATATTTAACTTATATGCAGAGTACATTATGAGAAATGCTGGGCTGGATGAAGCACAAGCTGGAATCAAGATTGTTGAGATAAATATCAATAACCTCAGATATGCATATGACACCACCCTTATGGCAAAAAGCGAAGAAGAACTAAAGAGCCTCTTGATGAAAGTGAGACTGAAGAAAGGAGACTGAAAAAGTTGGCTTAAAGCTCAACACATTCAGAAAACAAAGATCATGGCATCCAGTCCCATCACTTCATGGCAAATAGATGGGGAAACAGTGGAAACAGTGGTACGACAGAGGATGAGATGGTTGGATGGCATCACTGACTCAATGGACATGAGTTTGGGTAAACTCCGGGAGTTTGTGATGGACAGGGAGGCCTGGCCGGCTGCAGTCCACGGGGTCACAGAGTCAGGAAATGACTGAGGGACTGAACTGAACTGAATTGGCTCCTAGCTGCCTAAGATACTTGATGAAACCCCTGTGGTTAGTTTGTATCCACTGTATGCTTAGAATGTATGTGCTATAGTTAGAGAAGACATTGTGGTTACCCTGGTGGCTCAGACGGTAAAGCATTTGTCTACAATATGGGAGATCCAGGTTCAGTCCCTGGGTTGGGAAGATCTCCTGGAGAAGGAAATGGCAACCCACTCTAGTATTCTTGCCTGGAAAATCCCACAGATGGAGGAGCCTGGTAGGCTACAGTCCATGGAGTCACAAAGAGTCGGACACGACTGAGCAACTTCACTTGCAGTTAGTTTGTTAGCGTATCTGTGAGCTCTCCTGGGTATGTCTTGGGCTTTTAGAGATCAGCTTGCATCCCTTTCAGCTAGACCACAATTCTTTGGTCATGCCTAACTTCCTACCTAACAGGGATAATGAAAAACTTCTGGATATAGATAATGCTGATGGTTATACAACATTGTGATTATATTTAACACAAGTAAATTATGTAATTATGAATGGCTTAAAAAGTTAAATATTATATATATTTAACTAAAAATTTGAAAAGCTTAATAATAAGAAACAACTACATTTAAAAAATGAGCAAAAGTTTTGGATAGACACTTCACCAAAGAAGTGCAAATGCTTAATAAGTCCACGGAAAAAGTGTTCAACATTGTTCATCATAAAGGAAATACAAATTGAAAACAATGAGATGCTCCTGTATACTCAAAAGAATGGCTGTAGTTAAAAAAAAAAAAGACTGATAATACCAAGTGCTGATGTATATTTGGAGCACCTAAACTCTCATACACAGCTGGTGAGGATATAAAATGGTACAGAACTTTGAGAAGATGTTTGGCAGTTTCTTATAAATTTGAACATAAAATGCCATGTGACCCAGCAATCCTAGGCTTAAGTATTTACCCAAGAGAAATAAAAATTTATACTCATATTAAACCTTGTATGCAAATGTTTATAGCAGGCTTATTTATAATCACCAGACTTGGAAATAACTCAATGTCCTTATACTGGAGAATGGGTAAACAACCCGGGAATTCTACTCAGCAAAAACAAAGAGCAAAAACTACTGACACAAGGAACAGCACTGATGAATCTCGAACTCATTATTCTAAGTGAAAGAAGCTGGACTGAAAAAGCTACACACATCTGTCTGTATGATTCCATCTCTATAATATGTTAGAAAAGGCTAGAAAAGGTGGAGAACAGATCAGTAATTGCCAGGAGTTAGAGGATGAGGATAAGTTTGACTATACAGGAAAGGAGGAATGAGGGAAACTTTCCGGAAACTTTCCTGAATGAAGGAAAGTTTTTGGGCAATGAAACTGTTCTACATCTTGCCTACTAGGGGAGTTATGTGACTCTATATATTAGTCAAAACTCAAAATAGAGTGAATTTTATTGTATAAAACTGAAATACAATTTTTTTTTTAGAAAAAAAAACACATTTAATAATGAAAAGCAGAGTTAATAATCCTGGAAAGGAGACAGTGGCCAAGATGGCAGAGCCCTGACCTCTGATCAGGAAGACCCTGATCTCAGGTCTTCCCACAGCACACCCAAATTACATCTATTTCCAGAGCAACTATGGCTCATAAAAATCGGAAGACTATCAGAAAAAGTCTTCTACAACTAAACATAGAAAGAAGGAACAAAAGCGAGATGAATGGGAGGAGTGGAGATACAGTACCATCAAATTCATACCCCCAGGTATACAACCCACAAATTGGAGGATAATTACAATTTCAGGGGTTCTTCCCAAGGAGAAAGAGGTCAGAGCCCCACATCAATCTCCCTAGCCTGGGGCTCTGAACCATGAAGACAAGCCCCTAGAACCTTGAAAGCCAGCAGGACTTACATTCAAGAGAGATAGAGGGTTGTGGGAAATAAAGACTCCACTCTTAAAGGGTGTGCAGAAATTCACATGATCTGAGATGTAGAGCAGAGGCAGTAGTTTGAAAGGAACCTTGGTCAGATAAACTTGTTGATACTGTAGATATTGATATTGATACCGGAGTGTACCAGAAAGAGTAAGGAGATAACTGGGACTCACCCTGGGGACACAGATGCTGGCAGCAGCCATGGTGAGAAACTCATCCCAACATTGGGCTTCCCAGGTGGTGCAGTGGCAAAGAAACCATCTGCCGGAGCAGGACACTCAGGAGATGTGGGTTTGATCCCTAAGTCAGGAAGATGCCCTAGAGAAGGAATAGTTACCCACTCCAGTATTCCTGCCTGGAAAATTCCATGGACAGAGGACTTTGGCAGGTTACAGTCCAGCGGACTGCAAAGAGCCAGACACAACTGACCACACACACACATCCTACCATCAGGACACTGGTGGTGGGAAGAGCCATTTTGGAATTTCCTCTCTAGCTTATTAGTGCTGGAACCTGGCCCCAGCTAGTCAGTACTAGTTTTGGAACGCCCGCAAGCCAAGCAGCTAGTGGGGGAGGGACACAGCCATACTCTCCAGCAGGCCAGCTGCCTTAGGACTTCCTGAGTCCCCAGTTGTCCTGGGGACTGGCTATGCCTACAAGCATGCCCACAGTAGTCAGCTCACAACAGAAGGTACATGCAGTCCACATAGAGGGCAGCCATCAGATCTGGTTACCAATGGGGAGTAGACTTCTGGGCACCAAAAGACATCTCCTACATATGACCACTTCTCCAAGACTGGGAAATATAACCAACCTGCCAAAAACATAAGAATAAAATTAGGCAAAACGAGGTGACAAAGGAAGACGTTCAAATGGAGGAAAAAGATAAAACTCCAGAACTAAGGAAAGTGGAAGTAAGCTGCCTACCCACAAAAGAGTTCAAGGTAATGATCATAAAGATGCTCAAAGAACTCAGGAGAAGAATGGATAAAGACACTGAGGAACTAAAAGTTTCTAACAGATAAGACAACAAAGGACCAAACAGAGCTGAAGAATATAATAACTGAACTAAAGATACACTAAGAGGCATCAGCAGTAGATTAAAATGAAACAGAGGAATGGATCAGTGACCTGGAAGATAGAACAGTGGAAGCCACTCAAGATGAACAGGAAAAAGAATTTTAAAAATGAGGACAGTTTAAGAAACCTTTCAGACAACATCAAGCATAACATTCATACGATAGGGGTCCCAGAAAGAGAAGAGAGGGAGAAAGCAACAGAGAATATATTTGGGAACGTAACAGCTGAAAATGTCTCTAACCTAGGAAAGGTATTAGACATCCAGGTCCAGGAAACATAGAGAGTCCCAAAGAGGATACAGCTAAAGAGGACCATACCAAGACACGTTGCAATTAAAATGGCAAAAATGAAAAATAAAGAGAGAATTAAAATTTGCAAGGGAAAAGCAGGTACTTCCTAGGTGGTGCAGCAGTAAAGAATACACCTGTCAATAAATGAAAGAGACTTGGGTTCCATCCTTAGGTCAAGAGGATCTCCTGAAGTAGGAAAAGTCTGCCTATTCCAGTATTTTTGCCTGGAAAATTCCATGGAGAGAGGAGTCTGGCGGGATACAGTCCATGTGGTCACAAAGTGTCAGATGTGATTGCACATGGATGCAAACAAGGGAAAAGCAACAAGTTATGTACAAGGAAATCCCCATAAAGCTATGGGATTTTTTCCAGCAAAAAATCTGCAGGCCAGAAGGGAGTGGCATAATATATTTAAAGTGATGAAAGGTAAAAACCTACAACCAAAAACACTCTACCCAGCAAGGTTATGATTCAGATTTGAAGCAGAGATGAGAAGTTTTACAAACAAGCAAACGCTAAAACAGTTTGGCACCACAAATCTGGTTTTATGAGAAATGTCAAAGGAACTTCTCTAAGTGGAAAATAAAAGCCCACACTAGAAATATGAAAATTAGGAAAGGAAAAAACCTCACTGGTAAAGGCAAATACACAGTATAGGTAGTAGATCAACCATGTATAAAACTAGAAAAGGAAAAAAAGACAAAATTAGTAAAAATCATCTACTATAAGTAGTTAAGAGATACACAAGCCAAAAAGATGTAAAATAAGTTAAAAGCAGTTCAAACAGTTAACACCTATCTTTCTCAAAGTATTTCAAAATTTTCAGTGGAAGAAATGCTTCCAAACTCATTCTATGTGGACAAAATCACCCTGATACCAAAATCAGACAAAGATAACACACAAAAAAGAAAAAATACAGGCCAATAAGACTGATGAACATAAATGTAAAAATTCTCAGCAAAGTCTTAACAAACTGTTTTCAATATACAGCAAAAGAATCATATATTAGAATCAAGTGAGATTTATCCAAGGGTTGCAAGGATGGATCAATATCTGCCAATCAATCACATGATATAGAATATTAACAAATTGAGCAATAAAAATTATATGATCATCTCAATACATGTGGAGGAAGCATTTGACAAAGTTCAATGTCCATTTATGATAAAAACTCTCAACAAAGTGGGAACATACTTCAACATAATAAAGATCATTTAAGACAAACCCCCAGCTGACATCATACTTAATGGTGAAAGCTGAAAGCATTTCCTCTAAGACCAGGAATAAGACAAGGATGCCTACTCTCACTACTTTAATTCAGCATAGTTTTGGAAGTTCTAGCCATGACAGTCAGATAAGAAAAATAAAAGGAATCTAAATTGGAAAGGAAGAAGTAAAACTGTCACTGTTTGAAATGATACTATACATGGAAAATTCTAGTGATGCCATCAAAAACTGCTGGAGCTCCTCAAAAGTGAAAGTGAAAGTGAAGTTGCTCAGTCATGTCCGACTTTTTGCGACCCCGTGGACTGTAGCCTACCAGGCTCCTCTGTCCATGGGATTCTCCAGGCAAGAATACTGGAGTGGGTTGCCATTTCCTTCTCCAGGGGATCTTCCCAACCCAGGAATCAAACTCGGGTCTCCTGCATTGCAGGCAGACACTTTAACCTCTGAGCCACCAGAGAAGCCCAAGGAACCTGGTAAAGTTTCAGGGTACAAAGTCAATATATAGAAATGTGTTGTGTTTCTATGCACTAACAATGAACTATCAGAAAGAGAAATTAAGAAAATCATTTAATTTATAACTACATGGAAAAGAATAAAATAATTAGGATTAAATCTATCTAAAGAGGTAAAAGACCTGCACTCAGAAAACTATAAGAAGCTGATGAAAGTTGACACATCAACTGTGTCAAACTGAAGATGACACAAACAGATAGGTAGATATACTGTGTTCATGGACTGGAAGAATTAATATTGCTAAAATATTTACTATACTACTCAGAGCAATCTACAGATTCAGTGCAATCTCTATCAAAATATTTTTGGCATATTTTGTAGAACTAGAACAAATCTAAAATTTGAAACACAAAAGACCCTGAATAGGCAAAACAATCTTGAGAAAGAAAAAGCTGGAGATATTATGCTCCTGGATTTCAAAATATACTACAAAGCCAAAGTAATCAAAACAGTNATTCAAAAAGATACATCATCCCAATATTCATAGCAGCATTATTTACATTAGTCAAGATGTGGAAGAAAACAAAATGTCCACAACAAATGAATGGATAAATAATATGTAAGATATCTATCTATCTATCTACACACACACAAACACACACACACACACACACACACACACACAAAATGGACTGTTGTTGGTCAGTTGCTCGGTCATTTCAAACTATTTGTGACCTCATGGACTGCAGCATGCCAGGCTTCCCTGTCCTTCTCTATCTCCTGGAGTTTGCTCAGACTTATGTCCATTGAATCGGTGATGCCATCCAACCATCTCATCCTCTGTCACCCCTTTTCCTTCTGCCCTCAATCTTCCCCAACATCAGGGTTTTTCCCAAAGAGTCGGCTGTTGCATCAGGTGGCCAAAATATTGGAGCTTCAGCTTCAGCATCAGTCCCTCCAATGAATATTCAGGGTTAATTTCCTTTAGGAGTGACTGGTTTGATCTCCTTCCTGTCTGAGGGACTCTCAAGAGTCTTCTCCAGCTCTAGAGTTCACAAACATCAGTTCTTCAGCACTCAGCCTTCTGTATGGTCCAACTCTCACATTTATACCTGACTACCAGAAAAACCACAGCTTTGACCATAATCCACCATAAAAAGAAGCTTAGCCATTTATAACAACATGGATGGACCTGTAGGGTGGGTATTACGCCAAGTGAAATAAGTCAGACAGAGAAGGAAAAATACCGTATGATTTCACTTATATGTGGAATCTAAAAAACAAAATGGATGAACAAACATAACCAAATAGCAACAAACTCATCGATACAGGGAACAAACAGGTAGTTGCCAGAGAAGAGGGCAGTGGAGGGAAGAAAAATAGGTGAGAGAGATTGAGAGGTACAAACTTTCATATATAAAGTAAATAAAATGTACAGGCTTCCCTGGTGACTCAGATGGTAAAGAGTCTGCATGCAACGCAGGAGATGCGGGTTCAATCCCTGGGTCAGGAAGATCCCCTGGAGAAGGAAATGGCAACCCATTCCATTATCCTTGTCTGGAAAATCCCATGGACAGAGGAGCCTGGTGGGCTATATTCCACGGGGTCACAAAGAGTCGGACATGACTGAGTGACTAAACACACAGAGGTATGCAATGTACAGTGTGGGGAATATAGTGAATAATTAAATAATATTTTTGTTTGGCGATAGATGGTAACTAGACTTATCATGTTGTTAATTTTGAGATGTATAGAAATATAAAATCACTAAGTTGTATACCAGTATCTAACATAGTGTTGTAGGTCAGTTATAATTCTAAAACAAACAAGCAAACAAACTCATAGGAAAAAAGATCATATTTGTGTTTACCAGAGGTTGGAGGGGTAGGGGGAGGCAGAATTGGAAGGCTGTCAAAAGGTACAAACATTCAGTTACAAGATAAATAATACTAGGAGTGTAATTTACAACATAATTAACCCTGTTGTATATTTACATGAAAGCTGTTAAGAGAGTAAATCCTAAGAGTTCTCATTACAAGGAATAAATCTTTTCTATTTGTTTAATTTTGCATCTATATAACATGATGAATGTTCACTTAATTTATTGAGATAATCATTTCATGATATATGTAAGTCAAATCATTTGGCTGTATACCTTAAACTTAGAGTGCTGTATATCAATTATGTTTCAATAAAACTTGAGGAAAAGGTAATCCTGCAGATCAATTGAGGTGACTAGTGAAACACTGAATATATGATCAAGCAAATAAAAATAAAAATATCAACACAAATACTGTACCATTTGTGAGATGTGCTAATTAATGTAAATCTTTTACCAGGCCTAATAATGACAAAGTGATTTGGCAGTATTTTGCACCAAAAATTGTCTTTCAAACATATGTTGGTAAATGGATCACTATATTTTACTGCGATGATAAACCCAAGCCATATTTTAAAGAATACTATAGAAGAAACTCCTATATTACATGCTAAAAGACAATAACAGATGAACAAATTTTGCCAACAGATGAGTCATTCTGCTATCTGATAAAACTGAAAAGGCAGTGGGAAAAAAGCCTTGCTATCTAAAAACATCAGAGACATTTATATGGGGGTGAGGGGTGCCTCTACCAGGGGAGCTAAAAGCAAATGTGGAAACTCAAAACCATCAAAGTAAAGCTGCTTATCCTCTTAGCAACTGGCATGACATCATATACATGAAATCTTACTTGGACATCTTATCACACAGAAATGCTTTGATGTC